TATTGCCTTCAAAATCAAGCTATTTTAGATATGACATATCTTTAATATCAAATCTGTCTACTTTCACTCATTTTCTTATATTAAAAGTATCTGCTGCACTTTCCTGAGCTCAGGAAAGAATAACGTGAAAATTACATCCGTTTCATAATACCATGTGAAAAAAAAGGAAGAATGGGAATTAATAGTTGTAATGAGTCTAGGGAAAAGCCTGTTAACATTTTCCAAATGAAACGTGTTCTTTTAAAAAGCATTTTAACAAATAGCATTTACAGTATGTTAAGTATAATAAGGCCCTTGGGAACTGTGTAGGAATAGGTAATAGAATATGGAACCTAGCAATTCTAAATTGTACTTAGCAAAGCCAATTGCAGTTTTAACTAGCTCATAAGTCATTAATTAGTAAGACACTATGCTTAGTTCAGTTTTTCAGTCTTATGGCTTCATTGTCATGACCTATAAAGTCGGAGTACTTAGTACTTAAGCATAGCGATTGCCTTTAGAAAATATCAAATTTATATTTTCCAGGAAAAGAATTTTATTTTTATATTACTTAAGTTTTCTTCAGAGTGACATTTATACTTATCAGTTGTTAGATTCTATAATACATAAGGAAAGTTAATAATTTTATTGAAAATAATTCCTGAGGCCTAAATGAGTGTAATAGAATAGATTTCTATGTACACAAATACGCATACACGCTATTAGGATCCCTTTAGTCAGAGAGCTCTGGGTCTACTATGACTGTCTGAGGTGAATAGCATACCCATCTTTAAAGATGAGTTAGAAGAATTTAAAAAAAAATGCATTTTGTCTCATGTTCCATTAACTTTGCAAGCCTGAAAATGCATTTTTTTCTAAATAAAGTCTTTATGCAGTTCCATTTTGAATGGAAACATAGAGTGGCCTGCAGTGTAATCTTGCCTTTTTAAAATATTTCTTCTTTTGGGCAGCAACTTTCATGATTTTGGTAGGGTGCTACTGATATTTTCAGAGTTGAGAAAAACCCCTCAGGTTTGTTTGTAGTTCTTAAATTGGTCATATGCACAAAAGATTTCATGGGAATTTGGGCTTGCAGGTTTTGTTTTCTTTTATATATTTGCTTGAATATTAACAGGATCAAGCTAACAAATTAAGAAATTTGTTTTACGTGCATAAACTAATTTTAAACTAAAATTAATCATGAGCCATAGCCTTTGTAAGTCACAATAGAAATCACAGTGGAAGACTGTAATAAATAGGCTTGTTACCATTAGATAAGCATGAAAAACAATGAAAAGAAATTCCAACATTATTCAGTGGATATTTTCATGAATATAAAGTCTAATAACCTAAGAAATTAAAAATCACTTGGCAAAGCTTTAAAAAGTCCAGTCTGTGCATCTATAATTTTCACAAAGGGATTTTTTTTGTATACTTTTACTTTTTAAATTACTTTACTACCCTAGCTTTTATCCATTTGGAAGAGATTTCTGATGTTTTGTCTGCTTAAAGCTCTTGATAATTTTTATGGAGAACCTTGAAGTGCTAACTAGACAAGGAGATTGATAGCTCTGCCAACAGCTGAAATTGAGATAGAAATTTTTCTCTAGCTACATTTTTTTGGTTATATCCTAAATTTCTAAACTTGAGTAAGCAACCTTCTTACATTTCAAATTCAATTTATTTCTATTCCTAATACATAATTGATATTCTTCAGAAAGATTTTAGAATGATTGTGCTATTGTTGGAGCAGAGGTCCACAAACTTTTTAAGAGTCAGATTGTAAATATTTCAAGCATAGGAGTCATAATGGTTTCTGTCACACCACTCAAATATGCTGTTATGGTGTGAAAGCAGCCATAGACAATATATCAACAAATAGAAGTGGCTGTCTTCCAACAGAATGTAATTTACAAAAATAGGCAGCAGTGCTGATTTGGCTCATGGGCTATAGTTTGTCAACTCTGTGTGGTAGGAAGAATAATGACCACCCCAAAATATCTACAACTTAACACTCAGAACCTGCGAATATGTTACATCTCAAAAGGGACTTTTGTGTGATTACATGTCAAATGACACATGTGTGTTATATACAAAAGGAACTTCTGTGTGATGTGATTAAGGGCAAGGACATTAAAATGGAAAAACTATCCTGGATTATCTGAGTAAGTCCAGTTTAATTACATGGGCCCTTAAAAATAGAGAGCCTTTCCCAGCTCTGGTCAGGGAGATGCAATGTAAAAACACTCAATCTGCCATTGCTGGCTTTGAAGAAGAAGGAAGAGGGCCACAAGTCAAAAGATGTGGGCAGCTTCAAAAGCTGAAACAATCTGTGATTGTCAACCAGGAAGGAAGTGGGGACCTCAGTCCTCCACCTGCAAGAGTCTATAAGTGGATTCATCCTCAGATTCTCTAGAAAAGAGTACAGCCCTGACAACACTTGGATTTCGGCCTTGTGAAACTTAACCTGAGACTCAGCTGAGCTCATAGGTCAGAATTCTCACCTATGGAAACAGAAATAATAAATTTATGTTATTCTGTGCTGCTATGTCTGTGATCATCTGTTACAGCAGCAATAGAAAACTAATACACTCTGCATTGGAGCACTGCAAAATTAATATATATATATATATATACACACACACACATTAATAGTTTCATTTAAATCAGATTACTATTATACAGATAATATATCATTAAATGAAAATCAGTTATCAACTAGAAAGTTCATTTTGTCCTGGCAATTACTATACTAGCACTTTAGGAACCCAATTAAGGGAATCACCAGATAGTGAGAATTGTCATTGTAAAGTGGTGGCGGAATATTAGGGGAAATCAGGGAATACCATGAGACAGCGTCGTCAGGTAGCCAAAATAAGGGCCATGTGGGACAAGGTGCTGGATGCCAAGGGCAACTCTGACATTTACAGATATGTTGTACTCTTGAAACAACTTAGCTAAACTTCTCTGCTGGCAGCTGATAGACTGGAGCTATCGCCACCACCCCTGACTGCCATTGTCTGTGCTACAACCCCATATAACTATTATTAGGGCACATTGTAATATCCTCTTGGATGTAAAAGGAAGAGAACTAAACTATATACCCTATCTATATGGAATCTAGATATTAAAATATTTGTTTATTAAAGTTATTTGCCATTTTCAACTAATAGTAAATACTTACACAGTTTTAACCCTAGAAGACCCATTTGTTTGCTGAGAGTGGCACCACAATCTATGGAGCCATTTTGGGGAATGATGTAATCATACGTGTATAGGACACTCTAAAACATATATGTCAAGGCAATGGTTTTCTTTGAAGGATACAAATGTAAAAATTCCTGATGTTGGCCGGGCGCGGTGGCTTACGCCTGTAATCCTAGCACTCTGGGAGGCTGAGGCAGGCAGATTGTTTGAGCTCAGGAATTCAAGACCAGCCTGAGCAAGAGCGAGACCCCATCTGTACTAAAAAAACAGAAAGAAATTATCTGGATAACTAAAAATATATAGAAAAAATTAGCCGGGCATGGTGGCTCATGCCTATAGTCCCAGCTACTGGGGAGGCTGAGGCAGGAGGATTGCTTGAGCCCAGGAGTTTGAGGTTGCTGTGAGCTAGGCTAATGCCACGACACTCACTCTAGCCAGGGCAACAGA